GGTCACAGACTTTGATAACTTTTTATATCCAAACTTGTTATGCTTATCATTGATTTCCAAATTTCTCATGCGTGTTATTTAAAAAAAAAAAAACGCTTTGATAACTTTGATCCAGTTTGGTACTACAAGCCCATTAAAAATCAACAAGGCCCAAATCTATACACTACGTCGAGTTCTGAAAAAAATATACACTTCTAAAACCTTCATAAATATTCAACCTACTAAATTTTGGGCCGCGCCAAATACAAGATTAAATAATTGAATAAATTGATTAATCAATTTTAACATATATAAAAATTTAATATATAAACATGTATGACAAAATATATAATCGGTCAACATACAAAAATGATATGTATTGTGCATAAATGTAATAAAATTGAATACTTTTGAACAGACATATGTTAATGCTATCTGTTTTAATATTTTATTTGTAAATTGATCAAAATATATACAACTGTTATTTATTTCAATATTTTTAAAATATAAAATTGATATTCATTATTTGTGTAAATTATATAACGTACGATAAGTCTGATAAATTTTAGAGTTATATGAATTTGTCGGACATAACAAACGAAAAACAATATATGTTTTCAATAATAAATGTATAAATATTTTCAAGTGTGATTAAATATATATTACAATCCAAATAATAAAAATGAGTACCTTAATATGATATGTCTTTGCGTATAAGTGTATAAAAAAAAATGGAAGCATCATCTTATCATGTATGACAAAGAATGTAAACGAGTGATCTACATCTTATATTTACAAACAAATGCTTTTCAACACCTCTATAAAATGTTGTTAAACCCAAATTTATCACTGATCAAAATACTACTAATTAAACCGCTTTGAGTTTCCGATTTATTGATTTTGCAAGTATATATTTTTGTCATCAATGCTCCGTATATATTAAAAAAAAAATTAAAAATATGTAGAGATTTCCACTATGACAAATTGGAATGTTATGATTGGTTGATTTAATTAATATGTTTCTTAAAATTCTCTTTAAATGACACCTAGAATTTTTATTTTTAATGTCTCTTCAATTAATATATATAGGATAGGATGATGATAATTTCATTTTAACAAACAAAAAGCATCTCTTCACTTTATACTTCATACTCTTTCTTTGTAATTCAATTGAAATAAATATTCAGTAGAGTTTAATATGAGAAAGTATCAGAATTTAGTTATATGATTAGAGGGCTAGCTAGGCAATATAATGATCTATCCATGGAGATAACGCCAATGGATAGATAACAGAGCATGCACATTCATCCAACTTCAATGGGAGAGGAATTTATGTTCCAACACTTGAGGAGCGACAAGGGTTACGAGAACGAGTGCGTAACAATCAAGGAATCTTTCATTGTATGGTTTTGTGTGGGGAAGAGATAGATGAACACGGGAACGAATTTTGGGAGACCCAAGAATCTAGGGGTTCTCACTGGGGTGAGTTTGGTGGGTTTGCTCGTTTCGCGAAAGGACACGATTTCATAACGCATGCTTTGTGATGGAATGTTCGATTCCCCTTCCTCTTTCTGATGAAGAAATCTGTGCGTTTATGGATAACGAAACTGCTGATCCTTTGTATGATCATATGGAAATCGGTTCAGTGTGTAACCTGTAGTATGCTTCAGTTTTATCATTTCTTTGTAATAGGAATAGATCTTATTTTAAGCAGCTTAAGAACTTCAGTCACACTGATGACGGTTTGGTTTTCCTTCTAAACAAAAAAAGTTAGCCAAAAAAAAAACAATATACAATGAACAATTTAACATTATATTAAAAAAGAAGCAATAAATTAAGCATAAGTAGCTCAATATTTTTTTTTAAGAGCATCGACTATTTTAATTCAAATCTAACATACCATGTTACCTCTTCAAAAAGATGATTTATTTGTCTTATAGATCGACTTTAGTCAATTTCGAGTATATGAGAATGGCAGTTAGAAAAAGTAATATGTCTATTATATATGAAAATTATATTCAATTTTTCTGCAAGCAACTATGAAATTCCAGAAGGTTAAACTTCAGTGTCTTCTATAGCTATATATATAGGACGTAAATGGTAACAATTTAATCTGGTAGAATTGCAGAATTTGGTAGAATTTTTGGTAACTATTTGCTGAATCTAGCAGAATAATGTTGAATGTAAATGGTAACAGCTGAATCTAGCAAAATATGGTCGAATTTTTGAAAATAAATTAATAAATTAAACTTATGAAAATATTTATTAAAATTGTATTTGTCAAGACTAAATATTAAATTTTATAAATATATTAAATTTTACGAAAATAATAACTTTTATTAAATTATCTCACAAACCCAATTTATTTCGTTAATAATTTCATTTTATAAGTTTTTTTAGTAAAGTTTACAAATATTTTGTTTATTATTAACTACTACCTTTTACATTTATTTATATGTAACATTATAAACTTATTTTTAAAAAGACTGTTATGTTGTTTATTCGATATAGCTTACCCGATCTATTGTGTTATGATTTTTCTTATGTAATATTCATATCTTATCTACTTTTCAGTTTTACATATTTTAATTACTTGATCAATATTTGCTATTATCCGATATTTGTTTTCTGATTAAAACGCGTAATATTATGATACGACAAATAACTGTTACTAACTAAATATAATGGGTTGTTCATTTGCAAAAATGCATATAATTATCGATTTTTAAAGCATAAATCTTAAAATTCTAAACCTAAAAAATATTTTGATCCCTAATAAACTCTCA